ATTAAATTTTATTTAATACTTAACACATTAATTAATATAATTATATTATTTATTAATATATTTAACTAATTTAAAACTTGATTTTATCTAAAAAATATGTGAATATGCATATGAGACTACATAGATATTTTATATAAAATTATCACAAGTTTTTGTCAATAGTTTTTAAATTAAGAGTTAACTTTTTTTCAAATAAGAGTAGACTCTTTTCCAAAAAGAGTCAACTCTCATTAAAGAGAGTCGACTATACACAGCACTCAAAATGTTTTTAACTTTCTGGAATTTGAGAGTCGAATGTTCACCATATATAGTCGACTCTTGAATACTCGAGAGTCGAATCTTTGTAGCTAGATTCTACTCTTTATTTAAAGGTATACATATATAATGGCCTTGACCAACTATTAGTCAAAGTGATAATATCAGCAACAAGGGATATGTTGCTGATGTTTGGTTGGTAAAAAGATAAAAATAACAGCAATATAGTATATGTTGCTAATACTTTAGGTGTGGTTGGAAAAGTTTCAACAAGATAGCTCTTGTTGCTAAAAGTTACTTTCAGCAACAAGGAATATCTTGCTGAAAGTGGAGCTCAATTAGATGGGGAAATGATTGCCGGAAAATATCAACAACATGAGGTATGTTGCTGAAATTCACTTTCAGCAACATACTCCTTGTTGCTCAAAGTAGAACAACCTTTTAGGGGAAAAATGTACTATGCAACTTTCAGCAACATGAGTCTTGTTGTTGATATAAATTTTAAGCAACAAAGGATCCCATGTTGCTGATAAATTGTTGCTGAAGGCTTGAATATTAGTAGTGATACTAACCGAACACTGTATTTTTTCTTTAAAAAAAAAAAGAAAAAAAAAAAAGAAGAAGTTAGAAAAACCTTAAAAAAGAATCATAAAATGTGGGAATTGAGGTTTCCCATTAAAGAATTTGACCAACTCCAATACGGCTTGTAAAGTCAACGGTCAGATTCATGCACTGATTCACTACTTCTTTGCTTTCCTCTGAGTTAGTGTTATTTGAATGTCTTTTAATTTGTTTCCAATTTTCAATTGGTTTATTCTTCTAGTTAAGTGCTGCTTTTTATATCTTTTGTATATTCATATGACTTATTGCAACTATTAAATGTATTTATTTGTTCAATTATTATCACATACTTATGATAAAAAAATCTATTATGTGAAATATATAGTTATTGGATCATTTCAAGCATAGGAAATTATCTTCCGCACAAAAAATGGTGGATTATGAGAGGGAAGCACGTCCATGAGCATGATTAATCTTGTTTTATTTCTATTGGTATTTATGTGTTTGGATGAAAATTCAATCAAAATTACAACTAAGGAATACATAAATCTAATCTTAATTTAATTGTTCGGATGATACATGGAGGAAGTCTTGCTAACAAGCCAGTTTTTTCAGAATTTGCCTCCTTATATTAGGTGCCTACATTAATAAATCTTATGATGATACCACGTGTTCAAGGTAAAGATGCATTGACTACGATTTTCTCCATGCAAATGGAATTGAATGGGTAATTAAAGGCTATATTCTGGTGTGCTTGAGCTCATGGTAAGGGAAGAAAGACAAATTCTGGTGCAATAGATTTCTGCCACGTGACAGAAATGGAGTCCAAATAGATTTTGGGCCCTGTTAAGGCAGCGTTCAAATTGATTTTCGACTTTGATTACTAGAGACCTGGGTTTGGTCTGGGCTTCTAAAGGTTGCTAATGGATCGGGCTTGTACGTTTTTCTTTTTTATTATTAAACTTTTAAATTTTCATTAATTTAAAGTGAAATTATATTAGAACACGTACAAAAAAATGCTTTTAGAATTTTATTTTTTTATTTATAAAATTTAAAATCAAAATCTTATTTTATAAAAACGAAATTTTTTCTACTTAAATCAATAATTTTTATTTCATTAAATCGGGAAGGGCGGGATTTGTAGTATAATAGTTCGAATCAGTTGGAAAAAATAGGGACAGTTCAAGATGGTTTCAA